TTATTGACAATGGAAATTCTGAAGTAACATCTCCATTTGTCTGACTGACTTCTATCTCCCGGGTGGCCTTGTCAGGATTCCAACAAACCTTGTAGCCGTCATACTTCTGTCTACCTTTCTTCTAGACAAGTGATAGGCAACCAGCAGATCTCCAGCTCCTGCGAAGTCACAGAGATCCTCAGAGCCATACATGGGAGTGGATCAGCATGCTGTGATTTGTAGTTCCACAACAGCAAGAAAGCTACTTGTTGCCTGGCACTGCCCTAGACGGGTGTACATTGTATGAGGCAGAAAGTTTAGGGGTTGCAAATTCATTGTTAGGTAATGTAACGGTTTTGAGGTAGAACGGCCATCCAATGGGACAGTGGTCTCCAAACTATGGCCGGGGGATGTGGCCCCTTGCTTCCCTTTATCTGGCCCTTGAGGCATTATTCCTGCCACTGATAAAAGGCATTATTTCCCCGAATGACACCAACAAAGGAGGAACATCCTCCCGCTGAAACCAGGAATAGGGCATTATTCCTCCCAGTGATACCAATGATGGGGCATTTTCTGCTTACATTGGCCACAGTTTGGCCCCCCACAAAGTCTGAAGGACAGCTATTTGGCCCCTTGCCTGGAAAGCTTGGAGACTCCTGACCTAGAAGATAAATCTAGAAGGCTTCTCTCCTGGAAATAATGGCCCACATACAGATCATGCACATTTCAAATCTAATAAAGAGCTTGAAGGAATTAGTGGCCTCCATTTGTAATGTATTGATTTTGACATGAGGAGGAGGTTGGTGGACGTTGGACGTGGACTCCATTTGTAATGTATTGATTTGACATGAGGAGGAGGTTGGTGGACGTGGACTCCGTGGACATGAGAGGAGTTGGTGGACGTGGATGTGGGCTCCATTCACTAAATATATCTGATGAGATAACAGAATCAGGTGATGCATTTCCTCCAATTACATGAGATGCTGAAAATGTCAATTCTCTATCACCTCATGAGGGATCTACAAAACAAACCAAAAACGTTCTGCAAATCCCTCATAAAACGGCGTTAAGGTCAATACGGTAAAGGAAATAAATGGATGTTGGGAATAAGTGGCGGTGCAGGCATGAGAGGTGGAAGGCATGGAAAAGTCTCATCGCCACTTTGGAGGAGTCTCCACCGTCCTGGATCTGTTCTCTCACCAGTAATACATAGAAACCGAAATATGGAGAACACAGAATCATTGGGGGGGGGGGGGGGGGGATTACAGAAAGTAGACTACTATAGAAAGTTATTGTTGATGTTGGGTGGGGTGGAGAGGGATTGGACCCCCTGTCAGGTGGTATTGGTAATGCTGTCTGCCCCATTACGGAGATCCCGTCTCTCTATTTGTCCTGATTACCATTATTACTGAAAGTGGACAGAAAATCCTAAATGTTGGGTTGTCCCCAGAAAAGTAACAGAGAGGAAATCTTCCAATGGGGACGCTGGGTCTGGAAGAGAAGGGAAATCTCTCCATTGACGTCTTTCTTTTAGTGAGTTGGCACATTTCTGCGGTGTAACCAGGTTACAGGGGAGTCTAATTCCTCTCCATTGTACCCATCCCCCTCCACATCATGCCATGAGATAGAATACCCAATGGTGGCATGGGATCAATACATGGGATCAATACATGGGATCAATACCCAACATTCCGAGGAAATGGCTCACGCTTTACTTCAATAGTGATTTTTATATGACATGCCAAAACTTTTTTAAAAAAAGATACGAGGTATTTTATCTCAGATTTTACGAGGAAAAGAACTCTTTGTGAATGGAGCCCGGTGTCGGTATCATTCGCAGCACCAGGTACCCCCCCCCCCCCCCCAGAGCTGGAAGAAGTGGGGCCCCCATCTGGGGTGTATAGATATGACATGAGGAGGACATTGGTGGAGTGGATGTGTCGGTATCATTCGCAGCACTGGTTAGCACCAGGTACAACACTCCTCCCCCCAGAGCTGGAAGAAGTGGGGCCCCCATCTGGGTGTATAGATATGACATGAGGAGGACATTGGTGGAGGATGTGTATCAGGATGTGTCGGTATCAGTTCACACTGGTTAGCACCAGGTACCCCCCCCAGAGCTGGAAGAAGTGGGGCCCCCATCTGGGGTGTATAGATATGACATGAGGAGGACATTGGTGGAGTGGATGTGTCGGTATCAGTTACTGGTTGGCACCAGGTGCCCCCCCCCCCCCAGAGCTGGAAGGAGTGGGGCCCCCATCTGGGGTGTATAGATATGACATGAGGAGGACATTGGTGGAGTGGATGTGTCGGTATCAGTCACTGGTTTGGTACCACAGTACCCCCCCCCCCCCCAGAGCTGGAAGAAGTGGGGCCCCCATCTGGGGTGTATAGATATGACATGAGGAGGACATTGGTGGAGTGGATGTGTCGGTATCAGTCACTGGTTGGCACCAGGTACCCCCCCCCCAGAGCTGGAAGAGTGGGGCCCCCCATCTGGGGTGTATAGATATGACATGAGGAGGACATTGGTGGAGTGGATGTGTCGGTATCAGTCACTCGTTGGCACCAGGTGCCCCCCCCCCAGAGCTGGAAGGAGTGGGCCCCCATCTGGGGTGTATAGATATGACATGAGGAGGACATTGGTGGAGTGTGGATGTGTCGGTATCAGTCACTGGTTGGCACCAGGTACCCCCCAGAGCTGGAAGAAGTGGGGCCCCATCTGGGGTGTATAGATATGACATGAGGAGGACATTGGTGGAGTGGATGTGTCGGTATCAGTCACTGGTTAGTACCAGGTACCCCCCCCCCAGAGCTGGAAGAAGTGGGGCCCCCCATCTGGGGTGTATAGATATTGACATGAGGAGGACATTGGTGGAGTGGATGTGTCGGTATCAGTCACTGGTTGGCACCAGGTACCCCCCCCCCAGAGCTGGAAGGAGTGGGGCCCCCATCTGGGGTGTATAGATATGACATGAGGAGGACATTGGTGGAGTGGATGTGTCGGTATCAGTTACTGGTTGGCACCAGGTGCCCCCCCCCCCCCAGAGCTGGGAAGGAGTAGTGGGGCCCCCATCTGGGGTGTATAGATATGACATGAGGAGGACATTGGTGGAGTGGATGTGTCGGTATCAGTTTACTGGTTGGCACCAGGCCCCCCCCCCCCAGAGCTGGAAGGAGTGGGGCCCCCATCTGGGGTGTATAGATATGACATGAGGAGGACATTGGTGGAGTGGATGTGTCGGTATCAGTTACTGGTTAGTACCAGGTACCCCCCCCCCCCCAGAGCTGGAAGAAGTGGGGCCCCCATGGGGTGTATAGATATGACATGAGGAGGACATTGGTGGAGTGGATGTGTCGGTATCAGTTACTGGTTGGCACACCAGGTACCACCCCCCCCCCCCAGAGCTGGAAGAAGTGGGGCCCCCATCTGGGGGGTGTATAGAGATATGACATGAGGAGGACATTGGGTGGAGTGGATGTGTCGGTATCAGTTACTGGTTGGCACCAGGTACCCCCCCCCCCCCCCAGAGCTGGAAGGAGTGGGGCCCCCATCTGGGGTGTATAGATATGACATGAGGAGGACATTGGTGGAGTGGATGTGTCGGTATCAGTCACTGGTTAGTACCCAGGTACCCCCCCCAGAGCTGGAAGGAAGTGGGGGCCCCCATCTGGGGTGTATAGATATGACATGAGGAGGACATTGGTGGAGTGGATGTGTCGGTATCAGTTACTGGTTGGCACCAGGTACCCCCCCCAGAGCTGGAAGGAGTGGGGCCCCCATCTGGGGTGTATAGATATGACATGAGGAGGACATTGGTGGAGTGGATGTGTCGGTATCAGTTACTGGTTAGTACCAGGTTACCCCCCCCCCCCCCCACACCAGGCACCCCCCCCCCAGAGCTGGAAGTGGTGGGGCCCCCATCTGGGGTGTATAGATATGACATGAGGAGGACATTGGTGGAGTGGATGTGTCGGTATCAGTTACTGGTTGGCACCAGGTGCCCCCCCCCCAGAGCTGGAAGAAGTGGGGCCCCCATCTGGGGTGTATAGATATGACATGAGGAGGACATTGGTGGAGTGGATGTGTCGGTATCAGTTACTGGTTGGCACCAGGTACCCCCCCCCCCCAGAGCTGGAAGGAGTGGGGCCCCCATCTGGGGTGTATAGATATGACATGAGGAGGACATTGGTGGAGTGGATGTGTCGGTATCAGTCACTGGTTAAGCACCAGGTGCCCCCCCCCAGAGCTGGAAGGAAGTGGGCCCCCATCTGGGGTGTATAGATATGACATGAGGAGGACATTGGTGGAGTGGATGTGTCGGTATCAGTCACTGGTTGTACCAGGTACCCCCCCAGAGCTGGAAGGAGTGGGGCCCCCATCTGGGGTGTATAGATATGACATGAGGAGGACATTGGTGGAGTGGATGTGTCGGTATCAGTTACTGGTTAGTACCAGGTACCCCCCCCCCCAGAGCTGGAAGAAGTGGGGCCCCCATCTGGGGTGTATAGATATGACATGAGGAGGACATTGGTGGAGTGGATGTGTCGGTATCAGTTACTGGTTGGCACCAGGTACCCCCCCCCCCCCCCACCCCCAACCCCATCCAGACATTTCACCCATCAGAGGGTCAGCCAGCAAACATGGTGGATGTGACGCCTTTCAGGCTGAATGGGGAAGTGTTCCTATTGGTCGGTTTTTATAGAGCATTGTGGGATTCTTGTTCTTTTGTGTCATCAATGATCTGGTGAAGGTAAATGATTGGACATAAAAGGGCGGATTGGTGGCAGATGGTGCCACGGACAGACAGATGGTCAGACTTCCATTGGCGAGGAGCAGAATGGCCTTTATTACAGTGCCGGAGGAAAGTACAACCGAAGATCCCATCACTGACACCAGCAAGAAATATAACAAAATAGATTTTTGGTGACCCGTCATGTCGGCTTTTCCAACAAACCAACAAGAATGTCAGTTCCTGTCCTGGGGGCCCGGCCGGGGGCAGTCCTGAGTGCAGCGCCCCCTATAGCTGCTTTGTCAGCAGGGCCACCACTAGAGAGGTGAGTATTGCGGGGGAAGTCCCATGATGCTTGGCTGCGGCGCTCCGGTTGCGTTTGTTGCGAGGTCCATTGCAGAGGGAGGTGTCACAGCAGCTGATACACACGGAATTGACTTTCCCCGGAGTGCAGAAGGACTGGTACCCAGCCGAGGCGATGAGACAGGCGGCCGACGAAGCACATGACTTGCGGTATAATATGCCTGGAAAACAAGGAGAGCCAATTACTTTTCCCATCAGAGAAACGCTGATCTGTGAAATGAACTATTGATGTTCCGCGATACCAGCCGCTCCCCCCACCTGCCTATCCAGCCGCTCCCCCCACCTGCCTATCCAGCCGCTCCCCCCCCACCTGCCTATCCAGCCGCTCCCCCCCCTGCCTATCCTGCCTACCACCTGCCTATCCAGCCGCTCCCCCACCTGCCTATCCAGCCGCTCCCCCCACCTGCCTATCCAGCCGCTCCCCCCACCTGCCTATCCAGCCGCTCCTCCCACCTGCCTATCCACCAGCCGCTCCCCCCACCTGCCTATCGAGCCGCCGGAACCTCCCAATCATTGTTCCTGATCAGCATAATGTCAATGGAAACAGGGAGAGACCGCCTGTGAAGGTCACCGCCTCACCTTGTGCGCCTTCTCAAAGCGCGAAGATGGTGCTACCGCACATATAGTCATAGGACAATGCTACCGCACCGCGCATATATATACAATGCTACCGCACATATAGCATACCAAGGCTACCGCACCGCGCATATAATACATGGACAATGCTACCGCACCGCGCATATAATACATGGACAATGCTACCGCACATATAGTCATAGGGACAAGGCTACCGCACCGCGCATATAATACATGGACAATGCTACCGCACCGCGCATATAATACATGGACAATGCTACCGCACCGCGCATATAATACATGGACACTCCCCCTGTACCTATACATAATACATAGGACACTCCCCCCATACCGTATATACAATACTCGGACAATACCGTATATATAATACTCGGACACTCCCCCCGTACCGTATATATAATACTCGGGACACTCCCCCCGTACCGTATATATAATACTCGGACACTCCCCCCCGTACCGTATATACAATACTAGGACACTCCCCCCGTACCGTATATATAATACTAGGACACTCCCCCCGTACCGTATATACAATACTCGGACACTCCCCCCCCCCGTACCGTATATATACAATACTCGGACACTCCCCCCGTACCGTATATATAATACTAGGACACTCCCCCCCATACCGTATATATAATACTAGGACACTCCCCCCGTACCGTATATATAATACTAGGACACTCCCCCCATACCGTATATACAATACTCGGACACTCCCCCCGTACCGTATATATTAATACTAGGACACTCCCCCCGTACCGTATATATAATACTAGGACACTCCCCCCGTACCGTATATATAATACTAGGACACTCCCCCCCCGTACCGTTGTTTATAATACTAGGACACTCCCCCCGTACCGTATATATAATACTAGGACACTCCCCCCGTACCGTATATATAATACTAGAGGACACTCCCCCATACGTATATATAATACTCGGACACTCCCCCTATACTGTATATAAATACTCGGACACTCCCCCCGTACCGTATATATAATACTCGGACACTCCCCCTATACTGTATACAATACTCGGACACTCCCCCCGTACCGTATATATATAATACTAGGACACTCCCCCCGTACCGTATATATAATACTAGGACACTCCCCCGTACCATATATGTAATACTAGGACACTCCCCCCATACCGTATATATAATACTCGTATATATAACACTCCCCCCCTATACTGTATACAATACTCGGACACTCCCCCTGTACCGTATATATAATACTAGGACACTCCCCCCGTACCGTATATATAATACTCGGACACTCCCCCTATACTGTATTACAATACTCGGACACTCCCCCTATACTGTATACAATACTCGGACACTCCCCCCGTACCGTATATATAATACTAGGACACTCCCCTGTACCGTATATATAATACTTGGACACTCCCCCTATACTGTATACAATACTCGGACACTCCCCCCGTACCGTATATATATAATACTAGGACACTCCCCCCGTACCGTATATATATAATACTAGGACACTCCCCCTATACTGTATACAATACTCTCAGACACTCCCCCCGTACCGTATATATAATACTAGGGACACTCCCCCCGTACCGTATATATAATACTAGGACACTCCCACCAGACGATTCCTGGCATGTTCTAATATTAGTGTGGGGGTTGTTCATTGCTCTCTGCCTTGTGGCTGCATCCAACTGTTCTATTGTGTGTCTTGCTTGGGAGCAAACTATTATGGGATGTAATGTTTCCGGCAGCCCTTCCTCCTGATGGGACGGCCTGCTGATGTGTTTCCTGTCTGGGTGTATAGCCCCGCCCTGTGTATATATCTTGTATCTATGTTACAATAAAGCCGTCTATTTGCTGTCTTTCCTACAAGCCTGGTGTGTCTCCTCTTGTATGGTCAGCGGTGGTATCCATGGATCTGTGTTTGGACAGGGAAGCGGGAGTCTAACGGAAATACCCGAGTGCAGTCGGGTCCGGTTCTCTTACATTGGAGCAGTCGGGGTCCGGTTCTCTTACATTGGAGCAGTCGGGGTCCGGTTCTCTTACATTGGAGCAGTCGGGGTCCGGTTCTCTTACATTGGAGCAGTCGGGGTCCGGTTCCGTTACATTGGAGCAGTCGGGGTCCGGTTCCGTTACATTGGAGCAGTCGGGGTCCGGTTCCGTTACATTGGTGCAGTCGGGGTCCGGTTCCGTTACATTGGTGCAGTCTAGGGGGGGTCGGTTCCGTTACATTGGTGCAGTCGGGGTCCGGTTCCGTTACATTGGTGCAGTCGGGGTCGGTTCCGTTACATTGGTGGCAGCGGTGGGATTGTGCTTCCAAGCTGTGAAACACGTCCAAACCTCACCGGGATCCAAGATCAGGAAAGGAGACGTCGGTCACGTCCAGTGGAGATATGGACTTGGCATCAGAGTTCCCAGGGCTGCTGAGGATCGTTCTTGCACCATACCCCAGGACTGTGTCTACAGATCAGTACCTGGAGCTCAGGCAGCGGATTTGGGAGGTGCTTTGGAGAGGAGCCCTCCAGGTTGCTGGTATGGACAAGGGCAAGTGCTATCCACCCCCAGGGGAACGGGCCAGGGACCATCGGAAGTTATGGATGCCATTCCTGGGAGAGCGACCCCAGGAGCAATGGGTGACTGAGTTGGACAGGCTGGTCCAGCAGGAGATAGAGCTGGACAACCGATATCGGGCTCTGCAATGGTACGCACAGCAGGAATATTTAGGGGGTGACAACAGAATGCTCTCCGGAGGGGGGAGGGACATGACTTTGGTGGTCCTGGATTGCTGTGGGAGAGCCTTACAGACCATTTTGTGTTTGGCGATGAAGGAGAACCTACCCTGGAGGACCTGCGAGAAGACAGAGAGGCTATGTTCGGTCTCACAGGGGTCTCAGAGCTTGAACCAGATCTGGAATACCTGCTGAAGAAAGAACTGCATCTGGAAAGGGCATACAGGCAACTGCTAAGACATGTTCAGCAGCATGCCCAAGAATCGGCAGTGGAAATTCCAGAGATTGGGGATCTGATAGACTTCTCTGCTGAGGAAAAATAACCTGGGGAGCCTCCAGCAGAAGAGCCGGCAACAGGGCCAAACATTAGCGACCTCTGCCCAGCACTGGTAACATCTTCTGGGCTCCACGGACAGGAAATGGTGAACCCCCAACCCCAGACACCAGTTCCAGAGGCTGGGGATTTGATTGACTTTTCTGCTGAGGAGGAACCAGCCGTCGCGCCTCCAGCAGAAGAGCTGGCACCAGGGCATGGCGTGGTTGACCTCTGCCCACAACAATCAGCACCACAGGAGCTACAGGAAGAGGATGCAATCGGCACCTCACAACGGCAGCTTGAGCTGATCCATGGATGGGACTTCGGTCTCCACTGACACAACCCCAGAAAAGGGTCCGGCATTGGGACAGGAGGGTGTCAGCCTTAAGCAGGCCATAGATGGGTCGAAAATCGGCCGATTTTCGGATCGTTCGTGGTTTAATAGGTCGGCCATTTTTTGGGATTTTGGCACATTTTTTTTATTGGTAAAGTTGGAAAAAAATTAGCCGACTTTGCCGATCGGCCGATGAAACAGAAAACCAGCGATGGCCCCACAGAATTCCTAAGTGAAGCCCACATGGAGTATGTTATGTAGTAATGGAATGTGAGTGGATGGAAGAGCTGACATATACGGCACAACAACCCCCTGTGCAATGTATTCTGGGTGACTGTGAAATACATCCAGAACGTTCTTCTGCCTGTAGGCCCATGTAGTCTATACTGTACAGGGCACCGTGGGGTGTCTGTGGTGACAAATCTGCTAGTCTTCTACACAGCTGGGACAATGGGGCAGAGAGATTTCATTTCCATGTCATCCCCACAGGAGAGACAGAATGCTCCTCGTCTCCACCTGCAGGGACGTTCAGGACACCCCGCAGTACCCGGGGACATGTCACCTATGACACCTCTATGAACAGACAGATTAGTCCTACATAGTCCTTGTTGTACTTTTGAGGGTTCATTTCAATATTGAACAACTCCACTGCTCTCCGTCAATCCAGAATGTTTGGTCCCGTTCACACGGACATTCCGATGGGGTCCCGATCGGAACCTCTATTTCCCGCTATGGAGCAGTGAGCGTAAACGGACAAGTGTCCAATCCACCAAAAGGAGACGAGTCTGTCCCATGTGAAAGGGGCCTTAACAAACCTCAAACCAAAATATTTAGAAAGTAAAGTGAGGTTTTGGATATCGATGTGGAGACAATTATTGGGCGACTATTAGAAGGCTCAGACCGGGACAAAAAATAGGCTTGGACTGAGGAGCCCCCAGCTCGGGGACCCTTTCCTCGGAGCCCAGTGGTGGAGAGACAGGAGAAGGAGAGAGAGAAGGAAGGAGCCTGCGATGGAGCATGTCCTGCATAAGATCATGGTCTTCTTGAAAGATGCAGACTTCTTCCTCTACCACTCCTGAAGAAAGTGTCTTCTAAACACGGGCAGGAGGTTTGGGAGTTGATCTTCAGTCCATCTACAACCCCAAAAGGTCCAACCAGCTCATCTTTAATAATTCCAGTCA